ACAGACAAGAAAGATACATCTACTCGGAAAACAAACTGTTTGAGCCCTGAATTGATCTGATGATCTCAATAAAGATCGAAACGTTGGCATGATAAAGAAAATGTTTTTCTAAAACCTACGTCACACCATACCGCACCTCACGATCTCCAAATATTAATTTTTATTTGACTTTTTTAGACAAAGACTCAATTATTAAACGTTAAAAAACGTGATGCTTTGATCAATATATAAAAATATATATAATAAATATATATATAATATGTAATATCAAGTTATATTACAAGTGGGTGGAATTTTTTGCATGCCAGTGTAGTTCCTCGTCATGGAAGAATAGGTCCCAACTAGTTTAGAGTCAATAATAGATTTGTGATCTTCAGAAGGTGTTCAGATTATTATTTTATTAGAATTAGATTAAATTGAATGAAATTTAATAATATTTAGTATGCCACTGTTACAATTCCCATCCATTTTTCAGTGGATGTTCTAAAACTAAAAAATAAAATTCCGCTTAGGTACTTCAAACAAGAAGTAAATAGTTGTTATTGATAATGACAATTAATTAAGGCTTTTAGTTGAGATGAAAAAAAGTCAATGGCACGAGCGGGATTCGAACCCACGATCTTCGGCTAGATACGCCGCTGCTCTACCACTTGAGCTATCGTGACCTCGATCCACTCGGACGTCAACTTCCTATCTCAACCCCATTGGAAAAATGGCAAAAGGAGGGAAAACTCATAAGGTGGGGTTGAGATAGGAAGTTGATGTCCGAGTGGATCGAGGTCACGATAGCTCAAGTGGTAGAGCAGCGGCGTATCTAGCCGAAGATCGTAGGTTCGAACCCCGCTCGTGCCATTAACTTTTTTTCATCTCAACTAAAAGCCTTAATTAATTGTCATGTATTAATTGGTCAAGCGGACCACGAAAGTAGTGAATTAGTTATTGATAATATTAATTGTTTTTGAAAAAACATGATAATTGTGTCATATTTGAAAAGTTTATACTCAAATATTAATTTAATACTAATCTCTCCTTATCCGCCTATTATCCGTACATCAGGCGATATTTTGAAATTTTACTTCCATGTGCCACTTCCTAATGTATTAGTTGTAGAATTGCACAAAATTTTGTATTTTTTTTTAGTTGTTATTAGTTTTGATTGTGTGGAACGTTTTTTCGCTGTCCAATTTGGAGAAATGTGGCTTTTTAAATGCTGCTTCCTTCCCAAATGATTTATTTCAACGATGTACACTCGGATTTAAACATTATTTAATATAGAATGTATGTTTTCGTATGTATAATTTTAAAAGTTTATATTTGCGGTTGGATTACTGATTATTGATGTATATAAGCTCAAATCTGCACACGCCTGTATATATGCACACACTTATACAGAGTCTTCTCGCAGTCCAATGGCAATTCCAACTTCGGTAAATTGTAATAATTATAAGCAGGCCTCGAAATTCATCCACTCCCCCAGGTGTAGAGATCATAAGACCTCGGTCTTGTCCGTTTAACCGCCGAGGTTGGGCTCCAGGGACTATAAACAGCTAGGTCATTTCAGCCCCCAACGCAATCATTTCCTAAATCCATTCACACTCTGACTCACCCTTAAATAAATTCTTACTTATTTTCAAACCATTCACCCAGTTAGGGTGGTAGAGTACTCGATATTCCTCCACCACTCTTTGAACCTAACCTAATGGAGGGACGATGAGGTAGTCAATATTCTGTCATCGGCCCTCTCATATTCAACTCAAACGCCCAGAATTAATTAAGCCCAGACGTGTGTCATCCTCGCATGGCCTATTCTTAATCGGGACAAGATGAACCTTTTTCTACATATCAGATCTTCCGAAAACCATCTGTCGACCGTGTTCTTACAAAACGCGAGCTTCTCTTCAGGCTGTCATTTTCTTTTAATCGTGCTTTTTTATTTGTGGTTGGAGTTGTTAGTAAAAATAAAATGTTATTGACTTGTAGGTGATAAACAATGATTTTCTGTTGTACATCTAACTTTTTTAAAGATAACCCTTGTTTTTAAAAATCCTCAACGTTTATCAATTTCGTACGGTACTTTTTTTTAAAAATTTAGTTTATACGATTTTACCTACTTTTCTTTCTACTGACCAAAAAATTAAATTCTATGAAATTAAATGTAAAACTCGGAAAATAAATGATCTAAAATCGTCTGAAGCTAAAGGAATGTCATACTACTGACCTACTAAAAAAGAATTATTAAATTATTTTTATTTTTAAATTTGTTTTAACATATATTAAAAAAATATCTAAAAATCATCTGATTATAAAATAGAATGTCAGAGTACATGTACTTTGTAAGTGTACAAGTACTACTCATGAAAAATGTAAACATCCATATGAGATTATAACATGGCGATATAGTGAGTATAGGCGGACCAAAGAATCAACTTAAATAAACCTAAATCATGTAAATTTAAAACCAATACAAAAACTTACAATTCGCACTTGTCTATTTTCTCCACTTCATAGAAAAACATTGAATCATGGATGTGCAAATCCTAATTTTAACCCTACCTAACATAACTAACTGAATACACCCCCCCGTAACGCGAAAAATGTCAGGCAAGAAAATTGTGAATTGAGCCCAAAAACATATTCATGTTAAAATATATATAATCAAACATACCAAACTTTCCATAATAACTGTTGTAGCGAGCCTGGCGGACCAGGATGATAAAGGGCTATCATATCTACTGAAAAACTGAAAATGTTTTCAGTTTTGGCGATTAGTGCACAACTAAAAAATTGACCTAATTTTTACTTGTACTGATAGCAAAAAATGTTTCGAGGCTTTGTTTGTATAGTAAAATCATAGAATGATTTTGTAAACATTAGCCTGTTTTTAGTTTGTCGCTGAATAAATCGTTTTAGAAACTGACACTTTGTCATGTTTATACTTTGGCATATGATAGAATTATCTAGTTAATGGAGATGTTTTCTCACCTCCTGGGGTTTGCCATTATCTGCGCTGTGTTTCTTTCTCGATGTGGTCTGCGGGATGAAAAACCTGTACTTTCATCGTTACCGATTATTTCGGTCTGCATATACTCGGTGGTGTGACAACAAACTAGGCAAACCAAAATTATTGGTAACAATCAAATTGAACAAATAATTTTGTATCTTAAGTTTGTATATAAATCATTGGATTGTTTGGTTAGAATACGTCTTTTTGCTTCTATTTATTATGGGCTTCGTTTTTTTTAAACATTTCCCATAAAATGTCTAAATCGCTCTTATCATCAAACATGATGATAACAAATTTTTGGGATTGCATTTGCGCAACATTTTTAGCTTTTTAAAGGCAATCGATCATTTCGTTTTTCGTACTTTCTTTTCACAACGATTTCTAATATAAATATTTTTTCTGTACATAGCTATATATACAGATAAATATAGAAAAAAAATCATGTGCGAAAAATGATAAACGTTGAGGATTTTGAATTACTTCCTGGTTCCGAAACACCTACTCTTGCTGAGGGGGTTTCAGCTGTGGTGCTTCTTAGCAGGTGTTTCACTCTACATGTCCCGTTTACTTTCTGGTCAGTACAAAAATCCAAGGGCAACTTCTGAAAATGAACCGCGTACCGTTTACGGCATTAATCTCGGCTAGCGGTCCTGCTGTGTCTAATAATAAATGGATAGAATGAGTAATTATACACAAACAACATTACCTGTTAAAAAAAGTAGATTTTTCTTCCTAGAGTCCTAGAGACAGATGAAATTGATCATCACCATTAATCCGTTCCTTTCGACAAATTCCATAAGATAAATTCCTTTTGTGGTCAATTAGAAAAAAGACCCTACATTGGTATTAATTCTAATTAAAACCTATTTTTATGTACTGCAAAATTGCTATTCTCAAAACGTTTTCCTAACGACCATTCGTTTATTTGATATATTTATACATGCAAGTTTACGAAATGTTCTGTATATCACCGTATTGTACAATTTCTTTTTTTCAAATAAACGAAACAAAACTGTTTGATATTTTGTATAATTAAAATCGTCGTACTCTTAGAGAGAGAGATAGGGAGGGAGAGAGAGAGAGAGAGAGAGAGAGAGAGAGAGAGAGAGAGAGAGAGGGAGAGAGAGAGATAGGGAGAGAGAGAGAGAGAGAGAGAGAGAGAGAGAGATATGGGTGGGAGATAAAAAGAATGAGTGGAAAGGGGAAAAAGAGACAGAAAATGAGAGAGAGAGAGAGAGAGAGAGAGAGAGAGAGAGTGAGATGGGTGGGAGATAAAAAGAAAGGGTGGAAAGGGGAAAGGGAGACAGAAAATGAGAAGAGAGAGGAAAAAAGAAGGAATAAATAGAGAGGAGAGGGATTAAAAGAGCGAGAACGAGTGAAAGTGATAGGGAGATAATGAGAAAGATAATGTAAGAGAGAAAGAATAAGAAAGAGATAGTGAGAGAAAATGAAAAGGAGAGATTCTGATTGTGGGAGAGAGAGGAGAAGGAGAGAGAATGAAAACAAGAAAATGAGATAGAGTGCGAGAGTGAGGGAATGAAAAAGAGAGTTTGGGAGAGAGAGAGAGAGAGAGAGAGAAAGAGAGAGAGAGAGAGAGAGAGAGAGAGAGAGNGAGTGAGAGAGAGAGAACTAGTGGAAGTGAAATAGAAAGTTAGAGAGAGTAAGACAGAAAATGAGATAGATAGATAGAGAGAGTAAGACAGAAAATGAGATAGATAGATAGAGAGAGTAAGACAGAAAATGAGATAGAGAAAAAGAGTGAGAGAATGAGAGAGTGAGAGGGAGTAAGAGAGAATGAGCGAGATAGAAAGACGTAGAGGCAGAGAGTGAACGGTATTGACACCATCCCCCTGTGTCCTGGGCTGCGATTCGGCTGAGCCATGAACGGGTGGCACGTCCTGACTGGCGAAGGAAAGAGGGAGTCCTTCGCGAGGTCCTGTGCACCGGCCACGGGGGTTGCCGTCCGTTGATAGTGGGGGCGTAAGTCCGCTGATACGAGTCAATTCACTCGCGTTTCAGTCGCCCAACAGAGCCGGAGAGACGATGGCCACGACCCGCTCCTTTCTACTTTTTTCTCTACTTTGCGTATTTATTTACGCCTCTTACGGTCTCCCGGCGAATACAGGTATGCCGAGTTTATAAAAAAACAAACATCTTTATACTATCTACAAAAGTACTGTTTGATCAAATGAACCTAATTAGTCACTATTATAAAATATACATACATTCTGAAATTATATATTGAAAAATATTGGCGTTCGAAATTTACACTAGTAAATCAAGTATAGAATTTTTGGAAAATTATAAGCACTCTAGCGACCACAACAATTATTCTTTTTTTTTACATTAAATTACACATATACTTTTTCAATTTAGATGATTAAAAAGCACCTATTTTACGGTCATCTTCAGAGCAAAACAATCTTAAAAATGCCTGCAAATTGACATAATTAAGGTTTTAATAGGCGATTTCGAATGTCTTTGAAGACCGAATTAGTCCCAACATTGCCAAGGACTGTAACATGTAACATTGAATTTAGTTTTATTGAATTTATCTTTTGAATTTAATTTTTTCCATAAACAGCGGTTGGACTTGGCCAAATGGGCTAAGCATTATTATAGCTTTAAGATTTCCTCTAAGTGCAAAAAACAAAACATCTTGATACGAGTGTGTGACAACAAAGTCGTTTAAAAAATAATAATTTAAAATTTTATCCAGTGAAATTTTCATTTTTTATTTTATTCGTTAATTTTTTTAATCGTTCCTTTCAATACATAATTAGAGGTAATAATTAGTTCATGATATTTATAGTTAAAAAAATTAAATTTGAGATATATTTTTCTATAATTTAAAAAAAAAAGTCAGGCTCACTATTTTGTTGGGCCTATTGTTTATCTGTATTTATGAAGTTGTACATTCTTACTGATTACAAATGGAAATGGGAAATTTATAAATACAAATGATGGTGATAAGAACTCTCCAAATATCATTACACACTCTTACAATAAAATTTGTCAATTTATTACCGTATAATTGTAATAAATTTAATACAATTAAATATTTCATTCAAAATGTGAACGTGGTTTATGATATATATCTATCGCTTCCTTGCAAGAAATAATAAAAAACATCAAAACAAACCTGACCCTCCTCGTGTTTTTTTGTTTATTTCAATCTTTATGTATGCATTTTTACTGTTACATTATTTACAGCATAATTTTTTTACTGTAAACCAAATTAAACGATATCAGAAATTTACGAGTTTAATAAAAAAAAAATTAGGATGGTGCCAAATAAAATTCACCAAAACACCGGGAATTCATTTAGGGAAAGTTTAAAATTGAACTAACAATTTATTCTTTCTGTAAATGATTTTTCGTTGGAGAATGTTGTAAATAATATAACGATAAAAATACATATAATTTTACAACAAACAACAAAATACTAGCGTCTGATTTTTTGTCTTATATTAATTAAATATATAAATAAATTAATTGTGTAAGTTTATCTAATGAACTTCGTTTCCCCAAATCAATGTATTTTACATATTTCTGTTAACCTGCGAATACCTTATGAAATTTGTCTATGGCTTCCTCGCAATACATATTTATTGTTAATTAGTAAATAATTACTAAAGAATATTTATGATTGGACCATTAAGGTATACTTGTATAATGTAGAATTATACTACAGTTTAAAAAAAGTTTGTTGTGAGAGGTCGAAAACGTTCTGTTAACGAATAAAATGTTATGTTGCAGTTTATGTTAAACAACCTGCAAAAAAAAAATTCAATTATTATTTAAACAAATATGAAAATAATATTGAAACACATTGTTTAATTAATTTTAGAAGAGAATATTCTGTGCTGGTACAACTTACATCTTCGATCATTTTAAGAGTTTTATTTAATTGCAGTGAAGATTTTCTAAATTATTTTATCATTTTCCTTCCTAAAAGGGGAAACGGGAAAAATTAACCATCTTATGGTATTACGTTATGGGTTTTTTTTGAGAATTGCTGGAGGAATATATAAATTAGTGTGCTATTTGATCAGTTTTTCTCCTTTTTACTGGAACTGCATTAATAAAAAATATAAATGTTGCACGGGCCTGATGCAACATTAAATTGTTACGGGGTAATTACAATTACTTCAAACATGATTTGGATATTAAAAATAATTCGTTTTTTTTCTCTCTCTCTTGGGGAGGCGGGAGTTTCATAATTTTGGATGTTACGGGTAAAAGTTTACTTTCGTTGTGAATCAGATGATTATGAGGTTCTAAGGAAAGGGTTTGAAAGTCGGCTATTACTTTAATTTTTTATCTACGTAATTATTTATTATACGGTGAAAATGGTTTCGGCTAAGATTGAAGACACGCCGCGCCGACCATTGCCTGCCTCAACTTTATTCTCGGCAATTATTTGCTTAACTGAACAGCGCGAAAAAATACGGGTAGAAACGTTGTAAAAATTCAAGAGAGTGAAAAAAAAGAAGAAAAATGTCTCTAGTATTCAAAGCACGGCGGTGGCGTTATTCACGGGGTTTGCCTAAAATACGACCTCCTCATTATATATTGCACTTCCTCGTGAGGGAAAGAATCACATTTTATTGACACGCTCTTCTTACGTCGAGAAACGCGGTGTTAAATCATTTTCGAAGAGACCGTTTTCGACGGGTTAGTGAATTTACGAGACCTCGGCCGTCGAAACTTGCGATATTCAAATCTCCTAGATGATGGGACGGGGTCGGCGAAAGTAATCAGAATCTTTGTCCATTTACGTAACTCCAGCGAAAGCACCACGCGGCTTCATCTGTGACTCACGGTGTACTCGTTATCCTAGCTTTTTCCATTGAATAATGAACGTCAAATTGGATTTTAAGATCCAGTCCAAGTCGCTAACCTTTGATACATGAAACGAGACAAAACTTCAACGATGACAAGATATTGCACTTAAATTTTTTTCCCACGTTCGTATTTGATGATCATGGGTATGGTCCAATTGAAGAGTATTGTTATACCTCTACCTATAATAATCACAAATTTGGTTTACAATGTATACAACAATTTTTCAAAGAAAATATGTTTAACGGATATGGTTGGTGTACTTTTCTCAAATTTAAAAAGAAGGAATTGAAAGTAATGATAAAATTGATTGCCTTGCAGTAAGATCACGTCTATGATAAAAGCGTAGCCAATGTATAAACATGAAATTCTCTGTTTGTAATTTACTTTTCAACATAATTTTACATTCTTTGTAGTTTGAAGCGAACAAGTATTCCGGCACGTTGCTCAATGATTGTTGATTTTTGCACATATTGTTTGTTGGCCTGAAATGTAACTGATATGTACTGCTATGAAACTATAACTGAAACAGTTCCTCGCTGAACATGGCGTAAACCGGAACGCTTTATTATGAGAAATGTTGAAAAAGAAAAAAAAACATTAGACTGAATGAACAAGTAATATCATAGATACATAGATGTTCGATGGAGAAGTATGTAAGGAAGTGGAAAGAGTAATGCGAGTGAATGAAAAGAAGAGAGAGAGAGAGAGAGAGAGAGAGAGAGAGAGAGAGAGAGAGAGAGANGTAATTTATTTATTGTAAACATTTTATTCTACACGATACAAATTTTCCTAAATGGTTGGCCAATAAAGGTAGAAAATCTGATTAGTAAAAGCGATTAAAAGTTTCTTCAAGTCAATACTTCTTTTTCTTGAATCTTTAGATTTTTTTTTGTGTCCAATCAACAGAAAAACTTTTAATTTTTGTTGTCTTCATTAAATGAAAAATGAATAAACAATTATTTCAACCCCTGTCTTCGCCTCAGAAGAGAAGTTTAAAAGTTAAACTTACGCCGAATATTCATTCTTCGTTTCTCGATTCTTCAACATCAGAAATAAACAAAGAGTGATATTAAATATATTTACACACATACTATGAGGGTGAGAGTGATTGTAGGTGAGAGAGAGGGAGAGAGAGAGAAAGAGAGAGGGAGAGAGAGAAAGACAGAGAGAGACAGAGAGAGACAGAGAGACAGACAGACAGACAGACAGACAGAGAGCGAAAGAGATAAAGAGTTCGGCAGCGTCGTATTATTGTACACATCAATCGTTCATCCATTGTGACTAGAAGGATGATAAAAAAATTAGGGAGAAATAAATAAAGAAAAATATTACGAATAAAAAAAATATTGACAGACGCCATCGACAAGTATGCACACAATATATTTATGTTTTCTCGGTTTAATTTAACATTTGTAAAAAAACTGATACGACTACAAAACTGTCATTATGATTAAACGCGTAGCATATTTTGATCTTTAATGAAATATTGTAGAATAAAGTTTATTAGAATAGGAAATAATGCATAGATTATACAATTCGTATATGGCTGTATTTATACGCCAGGACAACATATCCTCTTCCATTCTATCAGTAAATGCGTCAGGGTTTATTAAGTAGATTAGCAAAATCACTATACACTGTGTTGAGATTTCCATGGAATCTGCAGTATTCTTCCGACAAACCCGTTTTCCAGTTTCTTCCTTCTTTCTCCCGGTATCTTCTGGATACCTTTCTTTTCAATTATTGCAAGGAGATTGCATTTGAATTGCAGGATCGACTGTGCCTAATGTTAATTATGTTATTATACTGTCTATCTTTATGTAATGAATTTTTTTTTGACATTGTGTTGCATTTAAATACGTTTGTTAATTTATGTAGATTATTCACGAAAAAAAGGCGAAATGGACACTTAGGTCATGATATAAAAATTACTGTATCATACTACGGCACTTTACTAATAGGCTGATGTTAAGATTTATTAGTTAATGGCCTTCTGTTCATTATTTTTAATGGGGGAAGCTGTGAAACATCAAATAATCGTAAAACGATAACTATCTCATAAACGGTCTGAGGATTGAACCATGTTTAATACGAACGGATTTGTTTCAAATGACCTATAAATTAACCTAGTGACGGATGGCGGAGGAAATGTGATACATCCTGTATAAATAGGGTGTCCCAGTTCAAATCAGTTATAAATAATAGTTTCAGAGTTTCAGGTACTGTGTATGTGATGATGCTTTTGTTTTGTAAATTACGGTTGAATTTTTCAGGGGA